ATAAATGAATAAGAAAATGATTGGGGGGGGGGTGCCCTGAAAGTGGGAATAGTACCCACATTATCGTGAGCAAGCCAAGAGAATCAGGCAGACCTGATGGCAGTATCATTACAGTAAAGTGCATTTATCAGTCTGTCCTTTGTCGGCAGGCTCAGGCTGGGGATAGATCTACACCAGGCATAGATGGTAACACAGCTCCTAACTAAATGCCTGGCGAAAAAGCTCGATTTTCGTGGCCCTGCGGAACTGTGCAAGGTCCCGCGGGGCCCTGATCTCATCTGGGAGCTCATTCCAGTAAATTGGAGCTACCAGAGAAAAGGCCCTGGTCCTGGTCGATACCAGCCTGGCTTCCTTAGGACCGGGTGGTGGTGGTGGTGGAACGATTTCGCAACCCTGGCCATAGTGCTCTCTGGGGTACGTGTGGGGAAAGGCGGTCCCTCAGGTAGGCAGGTCCCTGACCATAAAGGGCTTTAAAGGTCAAAAACAGCACTTTGAAGCGAATCCGGTATGCTATTGGCAGCCAGTGCAATGCCTTCAGTGCAGGCTGGATGTGCTCTCGCATACAGAGGCCCATCACCAGCTTCAGCTTCCAGAGTTGCGCCAAGGGCAGCCCCATGTAAAGAGCATTGCAGTAGTCCAACCTCGAGATGACCATTGCGTGGATCACTGTTGCCAGATCATTGTGTTCGAGGAAGGGAACAAACTGGCGAATCGGCCGTAGACGGTAAAAGGCCGCTTTGGTAGTGGCTGCTACCTGGGCCTCCATTGTTAAGGTGGCGTCCAGGAGCTCTCCCAAACTCCTTCGGCGGTGGCACCAACAGTGCCCCATCAAAGGCTGGTAGTGGGATCCCTAAGCCTGATCAGCTCTGACTCAGGTACAGGACCTCCGTCTTTGTCGGATTCAATTTCAATCGACTCAGTCTAAGCCATCCAGCCATGTTCAGTGGCGCCCGATCCAGATCTTCCGGGGTAGAGTCGGACTGACTGCCCAACAACAGATACAGCTGGGTGTCATCCACATATTGGTGACGCCCTAGCCCGTGCCTCCTGCCAATCTGGGCAAGGGGGCGCATATACACGTTGAATAACATTGGGAAAAGCATAGCCCCTGGAGGTACTCCGCAGATCAGCGGGCGCCTCTGGGACAGCTGCTCCCCGATAGCCACCCTTTGTCCCCGACCTTGGAGAAAGGAGACGAGCCATTGCAAGGCAAGCCCCTGAATTCCACGTCAGCGAGGCGGTGGGCCAGGAGCTGATGGTCGACCGCGTCGAACGCCGCTAATGGGTCCAACAACAACAGCACCGCTGCACCGCCCTGATCCAGATGCCTCCGGAGGTCAGCTGTGACGGCGACCAGTGCCGTCTCCGTCCCATGGCCTGGGCAGAAGCTAGACTGGAAGGGATCCAGCATGGAAGTGTCATCCAGAAAACTCTGCAACTGTATCGCCACCGCCCTCTCGATTAATTTGCCCAATGTTTCTTTTCATTTGCACAGTCAATTGGATCTCCAGTGGCCAATCAGAAGCCCTGCTGAGCAAGAGCCGCTCCCAGTTTCTACAAACATTTGGTGGGTGCCAGGTAGGGTTGTCAGATCTTATCTGGGTCCCGGCGGCGGGGGGGGTGTGAGCTCCAGCCCAGCTCCTGGAGTTTTCTGGCGTTGTCATTGTGGAGTGCACATTGTGCAGGTGACGCTCTAGCATTTGGGTAAAAAACTCTATGGTCATCATAGAGTTTTTACCCAAACACTAGAGCGTCCCCCACATGGTGACATCACCTCTGGGGCTCCCCTTGCCAGCCAGCTGGCCGGCGACAGATTGGGGGGCTGGAAAACAAGAGAAACCCTGCCCCCGTTGGGGGGGGTTTGGCAACCCTAGTGCTAGGAAAGGTGTTAGAGGGTACCCAGCTGCCCATGGGCACCACGCTGGAGACCCCGGCTATAGATGGAAATTGAACTTCAGTTGGCAATTTGAGCAAAAATACGATTAGACAACCAACACAAAGCTCATTGATTCAGCGAAGGAAAAATAACCATATGAATGGTTTTAACTTTTATATACCTTATGTTTTATGAAATGTACCACAACTCTTCCACCATGGTGGTGAAGGCATCTAAACGTTTGCCACACTACTGTTGACGAATCGTCCTAAACCTTTATTCCAATAAGCAGCCACCCAAAGCAGCAGGACTTTCCCCATACAGCAAACTGCACGAACAAATCATACATAGCTACCAGCGTTGTTGCAAGAAAATGTGTAAGTAAATAGCTTTCCATCAACAGATGAAAGTTACCCATCTGGGTTTTTTTGGCAGGCAGAATCGCACAAAATCTGAGCAATTTCTTAAGTGTCTTCCGTAATTAAAACAAAGCATGAATGAACACGTGTCAGTACTGGGACTGGAAAATGTCCCCTTTACGTCAGTGGAAAACAGAATCAAACTTTTGGTTTGTGCACTTCCATGACAAAAATATCGGCATTGTTTTTTTCTTAGAGGTAATGATAAAACTATTTTAGGTAATTCAGTGGGAAGCAAGTTAAAGAGTATACTATCCGTGATCTGAAATAAAGGGGGTTCAAGGGGTTAAAACACTTAGAAGAATTTCATGGGAAACAAATGAACAATGGAATTCCCTGTCTGTAAAAAAGCTGAGATAAGGAAATTCTGTTGGGGGGGGGGAATGTCTCCAGCCTGGCTAGATGGAATAAATAAGATATGTAGATACCAGCTGCTAACCAGCTGTGCAAGCCAATGTTACTAGTTAGCAGATGTGATAAGAAACATCAAAGGTGCACAAAGGTTGGCTTCAAAGAATATGCAATGAAAGAGAGGCTTATCTGTGGGAATGATCTACCTTAATGGGACAGGTTGCTCCGTTTGGATCAGAAGGCTGTGCATATTAAAGTTGATTTCAACAATCATTAATGTTACAGGCATCCTTTGTAGACAAGAACCGTGTTTCCAACCTATGGGTCGTGACCCAAAAGTGGATTGGGAAACCTTTGGGAGTCGTCATACAGGTCAGCTGTCCCCTAATGGCCTTTGTGTCATTCTATCTCTCCTCGTCCTCCATGTTGACACCTCATATTCTTGACTTCCAACTCCCTTTTCAACAATGCGTGGGGACTGGGGAGAGGAATCTATTTGGCAGGGGCAACTAGTAACTAGTAGCTGGCCCCACTGCTGGACCTCCTGATGGCACCTGGTATTTTTGGCCACTGTGTGACTGAGTGTTGGACTGGATGGGCCATTGGCCTGATCCAACATGGGCTTCTCATGTTCTTATGTTCTTACAGTAAGAGCTGGAAGAAGGGGAGGGGGAAGGCTGAAGAGTTGGTAGGAGCTATTCAGTGAATCACAGAACAGAATCATAGAATCCCAGAGTTGTAAGGGGCCATACAGCCTAAAGCATCCTTGATTAGGGCACCACAGGTACCCTTAACACACACCTAACACAACATGGGAGCATGCCTGACTGAATCCAAAGTCTTCTCTAGAGTGGTTAGTGGCGCCGAATGCCTAGGTTCTCTTCGTTTCAGTTTTCCTTCCTTCAAGCCACTTTCCAGAAGAACCTGGCAAGTTCACAAAAGCTGCTATTGACTGAGCAGTCTACAAAACATCTAGCTGACTTGATATGCAGGCTTCTCAAGTCAGCTAGATGTCTTGGCTGTTCAGGAAAAGAGCTCGGCTGTATTCTAATGTATTGTATTTGAAGTTTTTGGAAGCTGGAATTTATCTAGGATTTTACAGATCCATGTGTATTTCTTTAAGCAGTGCTACAACCACCAGGTGCTGGCTGGAGATCCCCCACTATTCACATTTTCAATAAGATTATCTTTAGGATTTTAAGCAGTGCTACAACCGCCAGGTGCTGGCTGGAGATCCCCCACTATTACAACTGATCTCCAGGCAACAGAGGTCAGTCCCCCTGGAGAAAAGGTCTGCTTTGGAAGGTGGTCTCTATGGCATTGCACCCCACTGAGGTCCCGCCCTTCCCCAAGCCTCGCCCTCCTCATGCTCCACCCCCCAAATCTCCAGATATTTCCCAGCCGGGAACTGGCGACCCTACTTCTGAACAAACCTAGTCGGGGAAGCCCCCCTTAGTAGGACTGCCAGATCCAGGCTGGGAAACTCCTGGAGATTTGCGGGGAAGGGTGGAGCCTGGGGAGGACAGGGACCTCAGAGGCAAGGCTCCCTCTAAGCTGTGGAGTCTTGTGCGCAAACATTCTGCTTTGTGAGCTCCTGGCAT